ATGTTGCAAAACAAACAACAGACATTTTGAATCTACCAAAAGGAGATTTACACATCTTGTCTGAGGGGTTTTCAATAGATTAAATAAAAGATATATAAGACAGGGCACCTGGTTGACTCAGTCAGTGGAGTGTGCAGCTCTTGATCTCAGGGTTATAGGTTTGAGCCTCATGCTTGGGATAGAGATTAAATAAAATCTTAAAAAATATGTATGCATATAAAAGATACATTTAAAAAAGATAAAACATACATTCATAAAGATATATAAAATGTAGATATATGAGAACTGAGGTAATTACAAACTCTAGGAAAAGCAAAAATTATATAAAAAAAGAAATAGCACAATATACCTGGCTCACCTGTACACATTATGTACATAGTTAAATGATATAAACACTAAATAACGATTTAACTAAAAATTAACATAAAACTAATCTGCAAATAAGAGATGAGGAAAAGTGCAGTGTTTACAGGTTGGGTAACCTCAACTCTCATTTTCTGTAATAGGAAATTGGTATATAATATCTATAACTATGGTAGGATGGGGAGACACTATATAAGTAAGCAGGTTATTTAAAAATCTAGAGATAGAAAGAGTTGATCAACAAAAATAAATAAAGACCGGGATAGTCATTCATTCTGCAGGAGCCTTTGCCAGAAAGGGTTCTTCTATAAGAGAATGAAGCCTGAATCCCCTAAGGCATCCACTTTATGTAATGAATTACCTTCTTTCCTACCTTCTTAAGTATTACTAGTTTTAAACTATTGAGGGAACAGTAGCTCAACTTATTTTCTGTGTTTTGTGATCCTAATGAGGAACACTGATTGAGAAAGGCTGCTTTTCTAGAGTGCGATTCAGGAAAGTGAGGGAAAAGATTATTGCTTTTCATTTTAAGTCTTGTAGTCTTATTTGACTTTTTAAATTATGTACAAGTACCCCTTTGATAGCCATTAACATTATATTAAAAAACATACTAGCAAAAAAGTAGTAAAGGAACTCTGAATATAGAACATATTAAAAACATAAAGCACAGGACTTAGCAGCTTTAGAAATAGTCTCGTAGGGCAGCCCGGGTGGCTCAGCAGTTTAGCGTTGCCTTCAGCCCAGGGCCTGATCCTGGAGTCCTGGAATCGAGTCCACGTATTTACGTACACGTAAATAAACCTCTTCAGATTAGGGAGTATGTCATATTATTTTTGTGTCTTCATGATGTACGTGGTAGATTATTGGCACAGTAAGTTCAGCTTAGTTGAATGAAATGGGAAGTATGTGCAGCTTCAAATTTCATGTACAGTATTTGTATTATATCTTATGTAAATTGTTGGATTCTATTTTTATTTAATTATCTTACCTTTTCTATACCTTTTTAAATACCTCAAGTGACTTAGTGCTTAGTAGTACTTTGCTACATGGGTAGAGATAAGTCTGTAAATAGATATTCAATGAATTCCATAATTTTTTAGAAAAAGTGTTTTTTTCTAAGACTTTTTAATTTTTTAATTAATTAATTAATTCATTCATTCATTCATTCATTCATTCATTCATGAGAGACACACACAGAGAGAGAGAGAGAGGCAGAGACACAGGCAGAGGGAGAAGCAGGTACATGCAGGGAGCCCGACATAGGACTCAATCCTGGGTCTCCAGGATCATACCCTGGGCTGAAGGCAGGTGCTCAACCACTGAGCCACCTAGGCGTCCCTATGATAACCTATTTCAGGTAATGTTTTTACTCACCTGACCCCTTACGTACTCTCAGATTTACTATCAAAGATTTACAATATTTACTTTATAGAAGATGGCTTTAGGGCAGCCCCCGTGGCGCAGCGGTTTAGTGCTGCCTGCAGCCTGGGGCGTGATCCTGGAGACCTGGGATAGAGTCCCACGTCGGGGTCCCTGCATGGAGCCTGCTTCTCCCTCTCCCTGTGTCTCTGCCTCTCTCTCTCCTCTGTGTGTCTCTATGAATAAATAAAATCTTAAAAAAAAAAGATGGCTTTAAAAAAATCTCATGATTTAACAAAAATTGGCAGCAACATATAAGATTAATTAGAAAACCAACAAAACCAATAGTAAAAAGACACCTAAAATGGTTTAGATGAGAGATGATGAGGGCCTGAACGGACACAGTGCAGAACAGATGGAAGGGAGATCGACAGAAAAGTGCTAAAGAATGGGATATTCTGGAGAGGGAAAGCAAGGGAGAAAGCTAGGATTACTGTCAGGTTTCTATCATGGGCGACTGGGTAGACAGTGGTACCACTTGACCATGACGGGCAATACAAACAAGAGCAGGACTGAGGGAAAACAGGAGTTCACATCTGGACTGTTGTTTGAAGTACCTTGAGAACATCCTGGAGGAGATGTCCAATAGGCAGTTCAATATAAGGATCTGGAATGCAGGAGAGAAGTCTGAGAGAGATAAAAGATTTGGGAATTGGCAGCACATAGCTGTTAATGGATGAGATCACCTACAAAGAGAATATAGAAGAGGGCAGGAGCCTGACATCAGAAAACTAAAGACCACAATTAATATTCCTAAAGCCCTTCAGGATAAAACTTTGCTCAGAGTTATATGTACTTCTATATGAAAACAGCCAATATATAATGTTAAATGACAAAAAATCAAATTGCAAAACATCATGCACAGTATAAAACCAGTTTTACATATAAGTTGTTTTGAAAAAAAAAAGTGTTAGTAAAGGCACAGGAGAAAACCATGGAGGGCAAACATCAAACTGAAGGGTATCTGATTTTGCAAGTCTTTTATACTTACATTATGTATCTCCATAGTATTTTAGTTAATTAAAAAAAATACTACTTTCATAACCTGGAGAAAAGATAATTTTGCTCCTTTCCTAAAATATACATATATATATATATATATATATATATATATATATATATATATATATAGCACGTATCCTTACAATACAAAAAAGATAATAAAAGTCTGTTAGAAAAACACATTGACACTGGACAATAAATGGGCAAATAATACAAACTAATAAGATTATGAAAAATATTCAAAGCACAACTCTGTACTATCAACATAACGTGAATTAGAATACATATGATTTGTTACCTACTAAATCAGAACACAATTTTTTTTTAGCAATCTCTACACCCAACATGAGGCTCAAACTCAGGAACAAGAGTTGCCTAATTTACCAACTGAGCCAGTCAGCCACCCCCATAATTTTTTCAAATAATAAAAGTGCTCAATGTTCGTAAGGGTATACAAGAAGAGCACCTCAGACACTGCTGCTAGGAAGTAAACTGGTACACCCTCTCGGACAAACAGTCCCCAGAGATTGCATCTGATTTAACAATTCTCTTTCTTTAAAAATTCAAGAAAATAATTCAAAGCAATTGTAAACATGCAAAGATATTTCACCAAATCATTAACTGAAACCATCTAAACACCAACATTAGGGCACAAAAAAAATTACATAGGCATCGAAAGTAATTCTATTTCTAGAGAAACATTAGCACGGGTGTGGGGGAAACACATCACAAAGAACTTTCAACTTTGCAGTGTTCCTAATAGTGCAAAATTTCAAAAAATGTAAAAGTGCATCAATGCAAGAATACTTAAATCAGCTTTCTCAAACTGGTGTGAGGACCCCTGGAAGACCCAAAATCTTTTTAGGGGTCCTTCCTTTTCCAAACACCTATCTATGCAAGGCTGGATATTCTTAACGTGCTTTAGCATACACAATAGCACACAAGAGTGAAGGGAGAAGCAAATATTGAGAACCCAGCTGTCTTCTATAAAGCCAGACATCAGTGGTCTGCAAAAATAAAGACAATGCCGCCCTCCTCACTAAATTTTTTAAAGAAAAAATATTTTTCAAAGTATTATTTAATTCAACATGCGACGGGTTTTTAATGCATAATCCAAAAATTTTTTCTGAGTTTTAGTTTCTAAAATACTAAATATACTGCATAAATATACCGGAGAAAAACTCTTAGTCCTCGATAATTTTTAAGTTTGTAAAGGGATCCTGAGACCCCACGGGGTTAAAAAACTATGATACCATCATATTATGTAACATGATGATTGGGATGATAATTAAATGGGAACAGTGCTTTGCTCCTGCATTACTTGGACAATGAAACGTCATAAAGTCATGCTTAATTAAGATTTTAAAAACACTTAAATTCAAGCAAAAAAAGCAGGCAATCCAAACTCTATATAAAATCTCATCATCGGAATTAAGAAAAATGCCAAGAGGAAAAAAAAAAAAAGGCCTGGAAGGTAAAAAGTCAAAATATTAACTGTGGCTGATTATCTTTAAGTGGTGGAATTATGGCTTATTATTTTACCTTGATCTTTATAGCACGTCTAAGATTTTGTTTTTGACACTAAGCATGCAGGTTTCATACCCACGGGAGAAAAATCCATAGTTTTCCTAGACCGAAGCATTACACTTCTGCCAGTGCGGAAGACAGGAAGCTCAACATAGTCATTTAAGGAACCTGATTCGACCAAACAAACTGCCCATTTCGTTAAACGAAAAAGATGAAGTTATCAAACGCACGGACTGGTTTCCAGACGGGTCACACGGAGCGAGATCACTCCGTCTGCAATAATCTGCAATCACGGTAGTACGGGTAAGTCAACATCTGAAAGTTAGGTCATCTTTTAGAATTTGCCAGAGGTGCCAAAGGGAAGAGGCCGAGGTCGAGGCGCAGCACCGCATCCCTGCGGAGCCGGGAGGCCGAGGGCAGGGCTCCGCGCCGGCCCGCTCCTTCCCGCGCAGGCCGCCCGTCCGCAGCCCCCAGCCCCCCAGCCCCCCAGCCCCGCAGCCCCGCAGCCCCGCCGGTCCTGCCCTCCGGGCTCTCCGGGGCCGACGCGAGCCTGGACGGCCGAGATTTCCCGGCCAGGTCGCTGGGCCCCGGGAGGGGAAGGGCGCGGGTCGGGGGCCCAGCGGCCACCCCGCCCCCTCCGCGCAGCACAGGTGAGCCGACGCCAGGCGGCCTGCTGCCGGGGCTCTTACCTGCCCACACCCCGAGAAGCTCCGTGGGGCTCGACGGCCGCCGCGCAGCGCAGCGCAGCGCAGGGCGACCCCCGCCGGGAGTCCCGGGGCGGCTCCGTCGGCTCCGGGTTTGTTTTTCCCCCGACCAGTTGGGGAGGAGGGGAGGGGGCGGGGGGCTGGCAGCGCAGGCGCAGAACAGGCTCCCGAGGCTCGCGCACGCCTGCCCTGCGCCCGCGGCCTCCGCCGAGCCCCGACGCGCCTGCGCGCTGCTCCGAGCCCCGGCGGGGGGCAGGGCTCTCACCGGAAGTGCCGACGAGGTAGAGACCCGCTTTGCGCGGGGATGGGTTTCGCGTTGGACGCCCGGGGGCGCGAACTGCGAGGCCGGCGAGGCCAGCTGCGTCCGTGTCCGGCTTCCGTTGCCCTCCGTCGACCTCGCGTCGGCTTCCCCCGCCCCCAGCCTGCGGCTCTGCAGCCGGCGCGGCCCCGGCGCCCCCGCCCCCAGCCCCCCAGCCCCCCTGCCTTGTCGCTTCGCACAGCGGCCGCCGCCGCCCTCCACGCCCGCTGCAGCCCAGGGCCCGCGCCCGGCCCTTCGCCGTCGAGGCCGAGGCTGTGCTGCTGCTTCGCCCGCGGGGCCCGGAGGCTCAGCCGCCTCCCCGCCCCTAGAAGGACCGCTAAGCCTCGGGGGACCCGAGCCCCTCTTGGGATGCAGGCTTGCGCTCGTGGGGCTGCACTATTTTTACCGCGTGTTTCCTATGAATCGAGGGAAGAAGAGAGAATATGTGGAGAGAAAAATCCATCTGTTGCTAAAGCGTTTTGCCAGCTCATCGTCCACCCTGGGCTTTAGGAAGTGAAGTGTACGGGTCGGGGGCCCCGGGCGGCCCCGCGGGTTGACCTCCGGGCGCGCGCGCTCTCCCCCCAAAGCAAGCCTTAAAAAAAAACTTCTGGAGTTCTAATATCTCAGGACTATTTCAGATGTGATTTATGGCGAAGGGCTTGAGAATCGATTCGGATTCTAAATCTGCAGTTCGCAACTACAGTTTGTGATCTTTTAAGGATACGGAATCCTGATTTTCTCTCTCTAGCCTCGCTTTTACTTAACTCTGAAATAAGACGGTGTGGTTTTAGCCCAACCGTGAAACTTCTGACAGCTGAAAATAACTTACTGAGCACCTACCATGCGGCAGACACCGCATTAAATGCTTTGCTTGCATTATCTCATTTAATCTTAAATTGCACAGTACAAAGTGCATTTTCTCTACTATGTGTGAGGTGTTTATTTGCAGATAAATGAGGTCACTGCCTTTATGGAACCACCGTCTAATAACAGAGACTCATGTATGCAAATGTATATTTGGGGTAGAAATATTTACATAGAAGTATTCATATAGTATAATGCATATATATATATATATATATATATATATATATAGTGTTAGGACAAAGCATAGAAATAGAAAACACTGACACCTTAGAGATAAATAGGAAAAGTCTATACGTGAATGGTCAACTCACAAAATAGGAAATTTCAGTGCCTACTGCATGTTTTACTAATGCTCAAACTCATTAACAATGAAATGACAAAAGATACTATTTCTAGTGTATCTAATTAGCCAGTTTGTTTAAAACATGCATGAACTCCATTGGTGAGGGTAGAGTGAAATGAACCCTTATCCTGTTGGGATGTAAATTAGGAAAAGATTTTGGAAAGTAATTTACCAAATCAGATGAAGGAACGGTCACATGACCTAAAGTAATAATTTCCCTTCTGGAAATCATAAGGACATATTCCAGAATACAAAGATGAAATAACAATAAAGTGAACAAACTCCCCCAAACTGAAATGCCTTTCACATACAAATGCAATTGTACTTAGTGTAACATTTATTTTTTTATGAGTATTTCCTCCTTACTAGGAGCTGTAAGGATACAAAAATGGATAATTTATGAAATTTGTCCTAAAAAGTTCACAATTCACTGTGTCATTCTTTTATTTAGTAATATAAATAGTTGAGAGGTTGCTACAATATAATAAAATTACAAAATGTTTTGGGAGCTTCTGTGTCAATTAAATTTCCTATGATTTCCTTTGCTGATTGAAATGAAGAAATCTGCACATGAAGTGCACATGTCAAATAAAAATATTAATGAAAAAGAGTCCTTTCAAAGTTTGAGTAATAATTACCGGAAAACTCCATGTATCATATTTGACCTCTAAAGATCTCAGTTTATGACTAAATGGTATAGACTTCAGGAATTCATCCCAATTGTAACATATTTGACCAATTTATTCTTTCGACTTAAATCATTGCTTGGACCTTAAGCATGTTTTATTATTTTGTTTTCTATTATTATTATTTTGAAAAGTAACCAGAATCTTGATTATTTTAAGAGGCTTCAATTCCACAGTAATATGAATTTACAAAGCTGTCCCCCCCCCTTTTTTTCTTAGCTATTCCCTTTTCATTAGTAATCTGGATGGAGAAAATACCAGAAGCAAATGAAAATAACAATTACAATTATTCATTTGTTTCATGGCTGGTCTTACACTATAAGCAATGTTAGGACAAGGGGCATTGCTCCCAAACATAGAAAGCGACATGGAACTATTAACCATTAGTATTTCATGCTATCTAACCATGTTAGAACACTCATGTTACAAGGAAAAGAGCTATTTTTTTTTAATTATCTGCTTAGGGCCACTTAGATCAGCTATTTGGAGCAATTTCACTAATGAAGAAATGGTTACGCTTTCTGTGACCATGAGAACTAGTGTTTTATTTTTTTAAGATTTTATTTATTTATTCATGAGAATACACAGAGAGGAGAGAGAGAGAGGCAGAGACACAGGCAGAGGGAGAAACAGTCTCCATGCAAGGAGCCTGACGTGGGACTCGACCCTGGGTCCCCAGGATCATGCCCTGGGCTGAAGGCAGCACTAAAATGCTGAGCCACCCGGGCTGCCCAGAACTAGTGTTTTAAAATGCTTGGAAAGAGTGAAGGAAATCCACTAAAATACTAACATACTGTGATGATCTTTGGAAGGTGAAATTATGAGTGATTTCTCCTCTTTCTAGTTTTTTATATTTTCCATGTGTTTTACAATGAGAACATATGACTTTAATAACCCAAGGGGAAAATGGAACACTTAGTTTTAAAAAGTATTTCTAAATTTACAATTGAGTCAACCAATTAGTTTACATTCCTTATGTAAAATATATTGCATTACTATGGATCATAAAGAGTGAAATAACCCAAAAGGATGATAAGCACTTACGTCTGAATACTGTCTCAGGGGTGGCAACAGGTACAGTTCTCCCCATGGCTCATATAAGATACAGCTTCAACATAATGACACAGGTTCTCTAGCAAGGAAGTCAGAATTCTTTGCCAGATATTTCCAGTTCTCTCTTCTGGGCATATGATGGCAATGCACTTCCGGGCTCCCTTGTGGTTGAATAGGGCCATGTGACTGATTCAGGCAAGTGAACTGTGAAAAGTGAGTGACATGTGTCTTTCTGGACTGGATTTTTTTCAGCCACCAATGTGAGATATTCTAAAGTCGGCTTCCCCTCTGGCACAGCAACGGGCAAGACTTGATACTGTGGCTTCTCCATCGATCTGAGTGCTTGAGAGATTCCAATGAACAAATCACTTCTAGAATAGATAAACTTTGTTGTTATATGCACTGAGATTTTGGGGGTGATTTGTTACTACAGCATAGCTTAGCCTGTCAAGGCATATAAACTTTGTTTTACGCCTTTGAGATTTGGGGGTGGCCATTCTGAATGACACACTGGGTGCCTCAATGAGACTCTGTCGCAGCACTGTTTGCTAAAGCTTTTCCTTCATAGATGAACTACTCACTATTCATTATAATATGCCAGGTAAATACATTTTGTTATAAATGAGTACTTCTTTCTACTACTTCTCAGAGTGACAGTGAATCTTTTTTGCTTTTAATTTTTTTATTATGGAAAATGTCAGTCACATGTAAAAGTAGAGAGAATAGTACAATAAACCTCTCAGCTTTAGTATCAACAACTCATGGTCACATCTTATTTCATCTATAAATTCACCCACTCTACCCCTTACCCCACAGCTGTATTATTTTGAGGCGAGTATAATTTATCATATCTTTTCACCTCTAAGTTTTTCTACGTGTATATTTAAAAGAAAATATTTTACAAAGTAGAAATGATAATTCAATGAACTCCTTCATATGCAATACCACCATCTAATTCCAATATGGACAAACTTGTTTCATGTATACCCTTACTTATATTATTTTGAAGCTTATACCATATGTCATATCATTTCATTCATACATATTTCAATATGATTTCTAAAATAAAATTGCTCTTTATAAAAGCATAATTTTCACATCTAAATATTTAACAATAATTCTTCAATAATGCTAAATACTTAGCTTCTGGTATTAATATTTCTAATTGTTTCATAAATGTCATAAGTTTTAAGTAGTTTGTATAAATCAGAATCCAAATAAAGTCAACATTTTGGGATTGATTGATGTCTAATAATGTTCTTTCTTTTTTGTTCTTGCACTTTATTTTTTTAAACAGTCTTGAGGGCTGTAGAATTATCAGGATTTGGACCTTTTTTTTTACACTTTAGTTCACTTTTATTTTTCTTGTATAAAACTATGTGGTAGCCACAGTATCTTTTAACCTACTCCTCTTGCCTCTATATTTCCTATAAGCTCGTAGCTAGATCTGGAGGTTTGGTTTGATGTGGGTTGGGTTTTTTGGCAAGGCTGCTCCGTAAGAGGTGTTACATACTTTCATCAGGAGACATGATACCTGAGGGCTCTTTCGTTGACATTAGTGACCATTGATGATCACTACTTGGATCCATTCTTTCATCTGGGTTTGCAAAATGATGATATTCAATTATGTCTATTTTATTCATTGATTGGAATTCTACTAGGGAAAAAATTTTCCTCAATAGCTATTTAGTTTTCCTCGAATATAGTTCATGTAGGAAAGGGAAATTAAACATTTGACCTTTTACTTTACTGACGGTTTCCAGAAAAATGAGTCGTTTCCCTTGTATCCTCTAAAGGAGACCAATGGCAGTAGAGGAGAGAGGGTTAATATATGTAAGATATATATATATATATGTGTGTGTGTGTGTGTGTGT